ATGTTGGACGAAAATTAAAAGTAATGAAGAAGAGAATGTAACATCAATTATATTGCAAAACTGTTGGGAATATGTAAAGTTCCAGAGTAATGGATTTGGATGGACGATAAGTAAACTGACCAAAATATATGGATTAGAGGATAAGAAAATAGCTCAGATTAATCCAATTAGTGTYATTCCTCCATGGCTATTCCCTGAGGTTAATGTAGACATGAGACTACTTAAAATGAAAAACRCATAGTCAGCTTTTTGTTTTATTTAATAAATCCTTTTATTTATTGACGACTTTGTGTCAGCCTGCTTTAGGGTTCATTCACCCCTCGACCTTGACAAGTCGTCCTGGAACTGGCTGGTTTGATCCCCAGTCCAGCCTTCTCAGTCATTGTTCACCCGCCTTGCCTACTGATCAGTGGCGGATGCTGGTCTTTCAGGAAGGGGAAGCTCACTTTCGGGCTACATCATAAAATGTGTCAGTTTATTTATATGTAAATTCTACCCTCCGTTCCTTTTCAAGAAAATATTTTACAGCACTTCCAGTCAGCCAGCTCACTTTGTCATACCAGGACAGCTGAAAAGACCTGTTATTTCCCCACCTTTTGCACCAAATTAATCTGAGGAGTTGATCAGCCCTGCTGTTTAACTCTAAGTTTTCTTTGTAAGGAAGAATATCAAATGGCTTCACCAAAATCCAATCCACAAAATTCAAACTGTCTGCCATTATGTGCAGCTTGCTACTGTCYGCCTGTGAGTGCTTTGTGAMGGTGGAGGGGCTCAGCAACACCCGCTGGACAGAAACTGCGATAGAAGTCAGAAAGAGTGATAGAAGTTAGTCTCCAAACATAAGCAGCTACAAAAAAACCACCAGAAATAGAAGCTAGATTTGTCACTAGTTGTTTTTAACAAAGAAAATGCTGCTAAAAGGATTAATAAAGTCTCCAGATAAGCTCAGAACAGAATGAAACCTAACTGCTTCMATGGATGTTTACACCAAAAGATTGTTGATTTGCTCATTTTGCCGTCAATCAAAAAGGGATTCAGCCWCCGACAGATCATCCAATCATCATGCAGAAGCTGAGTGTCCAGGCCWGCCGAGGCCAGCCCACTGCCCCATAGAMCCCCAGAGACGCTGAGCGTCCGATGGGYGGGACAAAGCMAGCATTTATCCAATGACTCGTCTCGTTTTGCTGCAGTCTTTGCTTCACTATTGAACTCTGTGGAGCGTCCACTCTGTTTAAAGCACCRTGARGCTGAGGGAACGAGKGAGAGGAAAGCTGCRTCGTTACCAGAGATAAGAAGCTGATTCTGAACWAAAGTTGAGCATGCTGTAGCRCATATTCAGTCAATGACATGTACACACAACAGTATATATATGATCACTCATTTTTGAAATTTTAGGGGAAGCTGAGCTTCCCTTGCAGTCTTAAAGCAATCGCCTCTGCTACTGATGGTGGTCAGAGGGTCCGGTGGCGCCGGTGCATGGCAGCCCCACCTCTGTCAGTGTGCCCCAGGGCAGCTGTGGCTACAATGTAGTTTACCATCATCAGTGTGTAAATGTGAGTGTGCATGGGTCCGGAAGGACTTGATAAAGTGCTCTATAACTATAWGTTCAGTCCATTTACCATACGTAAGTAGATTACCTGACAGTTCATGCCTTGACCCTAAAAACTAATCGGTTAAACGAGCAGTGTCCAAAGTCAGTCCTCAAGGGCCGGTGTCCTGCATGTTTTAGGTGCTGCTCTGGTTTAACACACCTGAACCTAAGGAGTGACTCTGTAGGCCTCTGCAGATGACATAATGGGGAGGCCTGCTTTTGATCACTGCAAACAAGGAGTTTGTGCCGACACGGTGGGTCTGATAAGGCTGTTTGTTACAGTGGGGCAAGCCATACCAGGGTCCTTCTCTGCCAGAACCTATTCATAATGACCTCCAGGGCAGATCGACTTCAGGGGTCCGAGATGCCTCACCTCAYGAGAAAGACAAATGTCTCCAACTTTGCTAATGAACTGTACCTAACCAGGCATTACATGTAAATGGTCGCAGAACAATCCTGGTTAAAYAGCTGAGGCAAAACTTGATAATCTTCTTTCTGYGGCCTCGGAGGATGTTCATTCAGTTGTTTAATTTTGTAGAAAAAAAGCAGATCACAGACATGACATTTCAAATGGCAACTTTCTGGCTTTAAGAAACACTAAAAGAAATCAAGAAAAAAATTTGTGGTAGTCAGTAACGGTTACTTTTTTAGACCAAGCAGAGGTAAAAAATCATGGAATCACTCAATCCTGAGGAAAAAATTATGGAATCACCCAGTAAATTTTCATTCACAAAAAACAAATGCATCAAATTAGATCTGCTCGTTAGTCTGCATCTAAAAAGGAGTGATCACATCTTGGAGAGCTGTTGCACCAAGTGGACTGACATGAATTATGGCTCCAACACGAGAGATGTCAATTGAAACAAAAGAGAGGATTATCAAACTCTTAAAAGAGGGTAAATCATCACACAATGTTGCAAAAGATGTTGGTTGTTCACAGTCAGCTGTGTCTAAAATGTGGACCAAACATACACAACATGGGAAGGTTGTTAAAGGCAAACATACAGGTAGACCAAGGAAGACATCAAAGCATCAAGACAGAAAACTTAAAGCAAAATGTCTCCAAAACAGAAAATACACAATAAAACAAATGAGGAACAAATGGGAGGAAACTTGAGTCAGCGTCTGTAACCGAACTGTACGAAACCGCCTAAAGGGCCCCAGACTTGAATATTACTGAAAATCTGTGGTGTCACTTAAAGAGAGCTGTCCATGCTAAGAAACCACCAAACCTGAATGAACTAGAGATGTTTTGTAAAGAAGAATGATCTAAAATACCTTCAGCCACAATCCAGACTCTCATTAGAAGCTATAGGAAGTGTTTACAGGCTATTTCTGCAAAATGAGGATCAACTACTGTATATACAGAATTAAGTTTTTTTTTTGTGCCCAAATATATGCACCTGCCTAATTTTGTTTAACCAATTGTTGCACACTTTCTGTAAATCATATAAAC